TTGTCCAACGGGGTGTTCTGTTCTCTGACAGTGACAGTTCTGTCCGTCATATTAATTCACAGACAAATTGTATTTTCTGTCATTTTTTGGATTTCAACTGTCGAAATCTTTCCTGAATCGATGGGCAGACTATAGCAGATGTAAAAATAGTGTTATAATATATATAATGTTAATAGAAGCACGAAGAAATAAACGCACTGTATAATACATTTTATTTTATAAGAAATATGTCTCCTAGCAAGTCACACTTAATATTGGAAGCCAATTATTATATTTAAACATGACTAATTCCTTCTCAAATATAACGGATATGAGACATATATGCAAAATTCAATTCAATGTCAATGTCAATCCTCTGATTGTTGATTGCCTTGCGATTATACAATATGATCGAAAAAAAACAGCGTCAGCGATGGCTATGAAATGAAGAACGCTGTCATTTTACATGTAAAATTATATGGGGAATGTTATCTATGTTTATTTCCAAGGCAACGGGATGCCGTTTCTTTTTCGATCATACGGAAATGAAGTCTGTACTAACGCGTTTTTCAAAAATATACTTATTTTTGCTTCATGAGAAAGAATTAGTTATAGTGCAATATATAAACTTACATAACCTTATATGTGGAATATTTATTCATATGGATATATTAAATAATAACTACCTATATAATTAATTATACAAATATACGTTAATTAATTTCGTTAATAATGTGCAGGATTATTAGGCTGATATTAAAGTGTAAAGGTTGAAATTTGGTTTAAGGATCAAAAATATTCGACAATATATGATACAAGGTATATGTTAACCCCTGGTTACTGTATTTAAACATTATTATAATGGTTTGTAGAGAAATATATATTGGAAATTATTGTTTTAGTTTTATTTAGAACCTATCACATCATTGTAAAATGTGTATTGTGTTTATTTGACGTATATGGTGATATCGTCTAATACGATGAGCTTCCAAATCTCCGGATTTGTCCGTTCTCAATTTCTTTATTTAAGGATTTTTGAAAAATTATATACAGGGTGGTCCGGGGAACTGTATTCCGGAAACTTCGGCAGCATATTCTGCAGATAAAAATAAGTAAAAAAGTTCGTATGCTTAGTTTCAGAGATACAGGGTGTAGAAGTTTCATTATTTCGATTTTTTTCAAATAATTTATGAAGTAACGTCAATATTTGGATGAAAATTCGTGTCGGAGAGTTTTTTGACATGAGAAATTTGATTTTGATGTCAATATGACTCCTACTTGTAGAGGGCGCCACCTACATATTTTTTAATTGGTTTGAAGGATAATAACATTTCGTCGGTAACTGTATTAAACTACTGAGTAAAAAAATATACATTTACGACGTTTTCTACCTAAAAAAGGTCTCTTGGTGAAATCGCTACGAGTAATGGTTCTCGAGATATTTGGAACCGAAATTATCAATACCTGTCATCATTGATATAAATTAAAAATGTTGACTAAATAGAAGTGTTTTTGTGCCAAAAGTTCAACAGAAACTGTTATATCATCATTTTTTCGCAGAAAAATTTATGATTAATATAAAAAAAAATATGCATTTCCCAAATTTATTATTTCAGTATTTCAGTCAATTAACTATCTACTCAACGTGTTTATTTTTTGTCAATAATGACATGTATTGACTATTTCCGTTCTAAATATCTTCAGAACGGTTACTCATAGCGATTTTTATCAAGAGACATTTTTTCGTAAAAAGTCACGGAAATGTAAATTTTTCCACTCAGTAGTTTTATACGGGTACGGATGAAAAGTTATTACTCTTTAAAACAGTTAAAACACATGTAGGTGGCGATGGCGCCCAATACAAATAGGAGTCATATTGACATCAAAATCAAATTTCTCATATCAAAAAACTTCCAGACACCCATTTTCATCTAAATATTGACGTTACTTCAGAAATTATTTGGAAAAAATCGAAATAAAAATGAAACTGCTACACCCTGTATCTCCGAAACTAAGCATTTAATGGCGTACATTTATACGAACTTCTTTGCTCATTTTTTTCTGCAGAATATGCCGCCGAAGTTTCCGGAATATAGTTCGGACCACCCTGTATAGTGAAGTAATACGTAATTGACTCTTTTGAGAAGCTAATTAGTTAAAATTTAGCACTGAATAAATTAAATATCCAAATTACATGTTAAGTTTAAAAAAAACGTAGAAGTGCTGAAATCGTTCCTGATAAAATTAATAATTTATCATAACACCCCCGTATATTCAATTATATTATAATCTATAAGCTAGACCTAAAATTAAGAATACTATTATTTTTTTGCGTTGACATCTATAACAATATTAAAAAATCACATTACCCATAAAAGGATAAATTCCAGCTGTAATAAGAAATTATTATAGGTTACTGAAGAATAGAATTACTTCAATACGAAAATACATCAATTTCTTTTAAACTGCTTTTCTAGATTTATTTTTCTCATTTTTTTTTATTTAATCTGTTTTTCTAATACTTCTAACATCAGTGATTTATCATATCAGTATTCATGTGAGTCCTCATCATCAGGGGCGGATATAGGAATTTGTTTTAGGGGGGGGCCAAATAAAAAATAATGTAGAATATGCTTTTTAGGGCGCGATTTTTAACCCAAAAGCTTAATATTTAATCCAATTTATAAATTTTAGGGGGGCCGGGCCACCCCTCTGTATCCGCCACTGCTCATCATGTAATAATCATATTTTCTGACATAAATTTACACACTTTCATTTTATTTTTATAACAATCGTAGAACCTGTAAGTGAGCTAAACAAAATTTAAATTCAAGAATTATGAAGAAATTATTATGATTTATTTATATAATATTATTAAATAATTTGAAAGGTAAGGAGAAAAAAACGGCGTCCAGTTGGCTTGGAAATGACGATCGATGACACTCCCCATTATAATTTTACATATAAAATAAAACAGACAGCGATCTGCATTTCATAGCCATCGCCGACGCCGTTTTTTCGATCATATTGTAGTACCATGTTAAAGATACAAAAAATACTGTATGATCGAAAAAAAACAGCGTTAGCGATGCCTATGAAATGAGGATCGCGGTCATTTTATAGGTAAAATTATGTGGGGAATGTCATCGATCGTCATTTCCAAACCCACTAGACGCCGTTTTTTTTTCGATCACAGGGTATAGTATGCGTATAGTTCAAAATTATAAACATAAATACCCAAGGTTTTACTATGTAGAATTGAAGGCCAACATAAAAAAAACCAATTGCACAAAAAGGTCAAAAGGTTTGGGGCTGACCTAAATACTAAACGCAAATATTCTGAGCTTAGAAAACTAATCAAAGACCAGATTAAGCATGAGGGTGGAGAATACCAACATCTAATTGAAACCAACATTAATGATGATCGCAGCTCTTTTTGGGCTTACATGAAATCTAAAAATCAGGGGGGGTCCATTCCTTCTGAAATGAAATATGAGGAACAATTGTTAACTGCGCCGGATGTCATGTCGGATGCTTTCGCACAGTTTTTCAGTTCTGTCTACCAGATGTCTACTGATTGCAATTTGGTTGAATTGAACCAATTGGGTCGCTTTAAATTCTCCAAAATATCAGAAATTTCAGTTAGGAACAGTATAAAAAGACTAAAACCTAAGAAGGCTACTGGGGAGGATAATATTCCTTCTTATATATTTAAGGGATGTATGGATGAGCTGGCATACCCTTTAACATATCTTTTTAACTTATGTCTAGAATCAAATATATTTCCTAAAGTGTTAAAAAATTCTATTGTAACACCTATTTTTAAAGCTAAAGATAATAGAAATATAGAGAACTATCGCCCGATATGTATATTGAATTCTGTAGCCAAAATATTTAAATCATTACTGTATGAAGACATCATTCTGCATTTTTCAAACTTGTTCGTAAATCAGCAACATGGTTTCTTGACAGACAGGTCCACATGCACTAACTTATTAGTTTTTACTCAGGCAGCTTCGGAGGCGATCAAGGGTGGACATCAGCTCGATGCAGTTATGACAGACTGTGCGAAGGCATTTGATAGGGTGGACCATGGTCTTTTACTGAGAAAGTTGGGAATGGCGGGATTCTCGCTCCCAGCTCTGAAACTGATGCAGTCTTATTTGTCACATAGAACCCAACGAGTAAGGGTAGGGAGTTGTCTCTCAGATTGTATATCTGTCACCTCAGGGGTGCTACAGGGGAGTAATTTGGGCCCCTTACTGTTCGCAATATTTATCAACGATTTACCAAGTTGCCTTAAACACTCATCATGTTTAATTTTTGCTGACGACTTTAAGATGTTTAGGACGGTCCATGGAAAGGAGGATTGCCTTCTTCTACAAGAAGATATAACTGCAGTAAATGCATGGTTTATAACCAATAGAATGTCACTAAATAAAGATAAATGCGGTTCTACACCACTCTCACGCGAAGACAAATACCGATAAATTTCAACTATCGTGTAGATGACACCATTTTGTGTAGAAAGGGCGAGTTCAGGGATCTTGGAGTCGTCATGTAGTCAAATCTAAAGTTTAATGCTCATTACAATCACACGATAAGTAAAGCCTATAGGGTACTAGGATTTGTGATAAGAAATTCAAAGAATTTTGTCAATATGTCGAGCATAGTAAAGTTGTATGTTACGTTCACGTTAGCACGTTAGTGAGACCATACATCTCGAGTATGCTTCTGTAGTAGTGTTGTTTTCATTCTTTTGTAAATTTTAAGCTTAAGTGTGGTCAACTCTCTGTATGTAATTACAATTATTGATATTGTGTTTGTAGGGAGTATAAATAAATAAATAAATAAATTATTTGGACATCGTTTAATATATTCAATTACAATAATTTAGCATATTGTGTTTAGTAGGTATTCTCTACTGATTAAGTTGATTAATTAAAAAATTCTTATAAAAAATGGACATCGTCGTTTTTTTTTCTTTACCCTTTCATTTATATTATCTAAAGAAATATATGATAGGTACCCCGAAAGTTTGGCATTCATTACATAGGTAAAGAATAAATTATTAAAGACATGTTAATTCCATTTTACTCAGAATTTATTACTTATGAGAAATTAACGAAAATTTGGACAAAATGACAAAAGTACCCAAACCACATTTTATTGATTTTATTAAGAACAAGAAAATTTACACGGCCCTCTTTTCGATTTTCATGCGGTTAAAGGGCAGAAATATCGATGCGAAACGGGTCGGTTCGCCGAGAAGCGAACGCAAATATTTTTGTAAATCATCCCTTTTTTACCAAAATGCAACCAGCATAACGGTATTAAAAATAAAATACATATTTTTTTAAGTACTTAATCAGCTGGAGACAGGTCTTGCGCAGGCGCAGACCATCGACGTTAGTTCGACGAGACCGTGCGCGTACGTGAAGCTTCGCCCTATTCTAAATTAAAACAAAGTTGTTTTTGTTTGTTGATATTAACCTTAAACTAAGTAGAACTTGGCAAAATGCTCGTGCTGGGTGCTTGTGGAGTCCTGGGACATCCACCCAACATCATATCGAGGTGAACACTAACAGGATTAACCTCATTTTGGTGAGTTACTTGTGACAGTTTTGTTGTTACGTGTGTCCTTGGACGAAAGGGTGTACGAATGCAGCCTTACGATATTCGGGTAATCATTATTTACCATCGGGTAATTAGAAGTTGGGCTCGTGTTTTCGATGCACGGGCTAAGTTTTTGTCGAATTTTTGAATGCACTCAGACAGGCCTGTACTGGGAGCTGTTTTTTGACACTATTTTTACATCGTCAGGCGAGTGTCTACTTACATACTTTTATGTGTATGCTGCTGCCAAATTTGATCAATTTTATAATATCTACTACCAAAGCTACTACCCTATATTTGTTTGAAATAAAGATACTGTAAGTTTGGAAATTTAATATTTCCATGAATTGACGTGAATACGAGGGTTTATAAAGAAGTGTTGAAAATAGGACCCTATTGAAACGTCTGAGATACAATTTTTTGACCCTAAGTACACCTTTCTGAGCTTCAGATGGGTTCGTACTTCGATAAATAAAGCTTTTAATTCAGGTACATACCAAAGTTATGTACTTTTATGCATTTTGTAAATATTTATAGGCAACCTTAATTTATTTTATTTAACGAAAAATAACTTTTTCATTAAAACGATTAACAGTTTTCTTGATATTGTATTTACAATTATTTAAATTAAATGTTACAAACCAACCAATATTTTTTTAACTTAAAATTTAAACTATTTATTCAAAATATACCTACCGTGTGATAAAAAAAGGTATATTATCAAGCAGACTGTCTTCTTTAGTTCAAGTTGTAGGCACTAATGCTATTTCATATAAGAATTGTTTATCTGCCATGTATAAATACGATTGAAAAAAAAACGGCGTCAAAGACGGCTGGGGAATGACAATGGATGATAATTTTGGCCAGGTCAAGCCCTAGATATCGTTACTTGGCCCGTACTTTTTTTTAATTTTAAAGACGCTTACTCTCAATTGGCCTTAAGGTTGTAATTTATTTTTATATTGAGTAAAAACCTCGGTAAAAACGATGTTTAAATGGTGTAGGTATTTTAGAATTCGATAAAAAATAATTTTCTTGAAACAGATTTGTGTTTGGAAACCTTCTACCTAATGATCGAAAAAAACGACGTCAACGATAGCTATGAAATGAAGATCGCTGTCATTTGATGTGTAAAAATAGGACGTCATCAATCGTCATTTCCAAGCTAACTGGACGCCGTTTTTTTCATATACTATAATTAGTCTTACCTAATTTAGACAATATTTATGTCAATTTTTAGTAAAAGACGCCTAGAGATTGACCTCGCCAAAATGATCATTTCATTGAGTGTAATGCCCCAGCTGTCTTTGACGCCGTTTTTTTTCGGTCATACGATACATTTAATCATACAACTGTTTGAGTATATTGTACCATACAATCGAAAAAAAGAACGACTATTGAATTGGAAATAAAGATTGATGACGTTTCATATATTATGTAAAATTGTTTGGAGAATGTCATTCGATCGTCATTTCCTAGCCAACTATGACGCGATTTTTCACATAGTACACATCGCATTGTACCTACCTACTTTTAAAGAAATATTGATATGAGTAGGTACTCAAATAATATAGGCTTGAATATAGGTGTACCCACCTACAATATGCTCAATTTGATCATTCAGTATAGGTACCGTATGATCGAAAAAAAAACGGCGTCCATTTGGTTGGGAAATGACGATCGATGACATTTCCCATATAAATTTACATATAAAATGACAGCAATCTTCATTTCATAGCCATCGCTGACGCCGTTTTTATTCGATCATACGGTATTATTTCTACTAAGAAAGTACTTACCTTAAATTTGTTTAAATTAAATTTCTTCTTTAATCTAATTCTTACGTACCTAAATGGCATTTCAATTTGTTGAATTGTCAACCTGTCAAAGCCTGCTTGATCATAAAACTTTTTGATTTTATGATACCTACTGTACGATAATTTTTTTTTAATGACGAGACTGAAGAAATCTAATCCGAGATCTAATATATTTTTTTGTAACTATTGTGTAACTATTATTATACAAAGCAATCTTAATTAAAAAGCGTTTTGATCATAGTGTATGTCTATTCGCTTTGTGTTTATTATACCATCTTTGTACTATTGTATGATCGAAAAAAAACGACGCCCGCAATGACATTCCCCATATAATTATACATATAAAATGACAGCGATCCTCATTTTATAGCCATCGCTGACGCCGTTTTTTTTTCGATCATATTGTATTATAAAACGAAGATACAAATTCTGGTATCTGGTTTGACAGGTCATTGACATTTTAATGTTATTTACATACCTATATTGTATGTTTAGTCTCTTAAAAATTCAGTTTTTTTTATTTAACTTGATTTTCAAAAAATACCGGGTGCGTCACCCTTATAACTGGCTCACCCTTATTATTTTTTTACTTAAAAAAACGATATTTGGTATGTTAGTATTTGACATAAATTAGGATTGATTGACGTATTCAATTGTTTTCGGTCAGTTCCTGTTTCACCGGAAATGGCTACAACTTTTGATTTTAAATGGCACCCTCGGTATTTTTTCACTTTATTCGATAGAAAATAACACTCTGAATAGAATGACATATCATATGCCAACTTTTGACATTTTAGAATGTGGTTTATTTGAAATTATTAGTGTTAGTGTTTTTAACTGGCACTCTAGATTAGATATTTAAAATACGACTTTTTGTGTAAGTGAGAATGTCAAAAGTTGACATGTGTCTACGTGTGTTATTTTCTATCGAATAAAGTAAAAAAATTCCGAGAGTGGCATTTAAAAATCAAAGGTTGTAATTATTTCCGGTGAAACAGGAAAATGACCGAAAAGGACAAGTGACCGAAAACGATTGAATACGTCAATCAATCCTAATTTATGTCACATACTGAAAAAATAAAAAAGTTATAGGGGTGAGCCACTTTTGAAACGCACCCGGTATATTAAGCTCTAAAATACATGAAAATTTTAAAGTCTCCGTTTTTCGTGCCAGTGTACCTTTATGTTTAACTTTAATGGCGGTTTTAATTTATTTTGATGAAACTAATATTGTGTAGTTAATTATACAAAACACCGTGTGGTGGTCTGATTATAAATAAATATACATAATTAAACATTCACCGAAATTGCATTTTCAATTCGACATTGCTCTAATTTTAGGTTTAGTCCTTGCCTAGACACTTAAAATTTCTAAATATCTGATACTTTTCGTTCAGTTAGTAGGTCAAAAATCGCTAAGCTGCCAGAATATATCACGATATCCCCTATTGGTCTATCAGCAATTTTCTCTCGTATACAACTGATCGCTTCCTTTATGGCGTAAACCTCTGTTTCGAGAACATTACAGTCATGAGATCGTCGGATGTCTAGTTCCTCTGAGAAGATACCTTGAGCCTATACCTGTGCCTCCTGAAGGTACGGAAGCATCTGTGTAGACTAGGGTTGTCAACTTTCAAAATAAATAGAGGATGATAGGGTAAAAAAGAGGCACAGGCAAAACATTTTTTGAAACCTGGCCAATGTCCAGTATTTATCAAAAATTTTTCAACGTTATGCGATTGATGGTTTTCCTACTTTCTTAAAAATGTTATACTCGAAACTAATCGAAACTAAAAAAAACTAACTCGAAAAAAATAAAACAAACCATTTTCAACAAAACTTTTTCAAAACAAAATGTGCGCTTTTTACATTTTAAAAACATTGAATAAGAAAAATTGCAGTTTTACAAATAATTTCCCATGAAATAGGTATATTGAAAAATTTACACGTTTAATAACAAAATAAGAAAAACCTTAGCTCAAAAATAGGATAACTTATCTTAAGGATAGTCCTCATTCACTTCCACATTTGTCGGGTTCATACATGTAATGCCATTGCATTGACCACATGCCACAGTGCAGGTGAATCCCATTCGCCTGCATGTACATGCTACTTTTTATGAAATGTGAATTTAGTTAACATTTGAATGCAACATAAATTTAACTTACCTGATGAAAAACTCGAAGTCCATGATATTTCGCACTACTGGAGGTAGGTGGTAATGATGCCAAGTTGAAGTTGGTATTAAGACTTCGTCTAGCTACGTACTGTTGATAAAGCATGTATCTGGCACTATCCATATCTACTTTTTTTTGTCTCACCTGCACTATGGCATGTGGTCAATGCAATGGCATTACATGTATGAACCCAACAAATATGGAAGTGAATGAGGACTATCCTTAAGATAAGATCCTATTTTTGAGCTAAGGTTTTTCTTATTTTGTTATTAAACGTGTACATTTTTCAATATACCTATTTCATGGGAAATTATGCGTAAAACTGCAATTTTTCTTATTCAATGTTTTTAAAATGTAAAAAACACACATTTAAAAAAATTATCTCCGCCATATATTCCTTTTTATAGGAACTTGTATCCTAATAAATTTTTTGCTCTCGAGATTTATATCAAAAATGCTTTCATTTGAAGTTAAACACAGAATGGTCGAGCGGTTATTAAAACAATCCTCCAAAATTAAAGAATTCGCATCTGCGCCACTGAAATTCTAAAAATTTTGGTTCTTTACCTATGTAGTAGGAAATTTTCTTCTCTTCAATTTTTTACTCATGACTTTTTTTACTAAAATTCGTAGTTTTAGAGTTATTGAAGAAAAAGTAAAAAAAGGGTCATTTTTACCCCTTGTAGGGATGGTTTTGGGGTGACGGGCTCAACGGTTCATCGCTGGGGTTTCAGGATGTTTAAAGATCTACAAAATGAAGCTCCATGCAAAATCGCAGCTTGTCTCTAATTTGTTGAAGGTCACCCATGTAAAACGATGTATCGGCCCTGGGCTAAAACGAAAGACAGATATCAATTTTTTAAAGCATTGTGGCGATAGACGAATATTTTTTAGGTTTTGAGTTTGGTATGCAAAAAAAGAGGACTTGTTCAAAGCGCGAGAGAAAAGAGGACTGTCTTCTGGAATAGAGGACGGTTGGCAACTCTAGTGTAGA